TTTTTTTTTTTTTTTCAACGTTTTTATTTATTTTTTGGGACAGAGAGAGACAGAGCATGAACGGGGGTGGGGCAGAGAGAGAGGGAGACACAGAATCGGAAACAGGCTCCAGGCTCTGAGCCATCAGCCCAGAGCCCGACGCGGGGCTCAAACTCACGGACCGCGAGATCGTGACCTGGCTGAAGTCGGACGCTTAACCGACTGCGCCACCCAGGCGCCCCTCAAAACCCAACTTCTAACTAAGGAACTAGAAAAAGAACAGACTAAACTGAAAGCTAGCAGAAGAAAGGAAATAATGATAATTAGAGCAAAGATAGAGAAATAGTGAAACCAAAAGTTGGTTGTTTAAAAAGAACAACAAAATTACCAAACCTTTAGCTGGAGGGACTAAGAAGAAAGAGAAAAGACTCAAATTGGTAAAATCAGAAAATGAAAATGACATTAGTATTGGTTCTACAGAAATAAAAAGGATTATAAGAGAGTACCGTGAATAGTTGCACGCTAACAAACTGGATAACCAGATGAAATGGACAGGTTCCTGGAAACAAAACCTACCAAGACTAAATCACACAGAAATAGGAAATTGGAGTGGACCTATGACTAGTAAGGAGATTGAATCGGTAACTAAAAGTCTACCAACAAAGTAAAGGTCTGGACCTGATGGCTTTACTGGTGAATTCTGCCAGACACTTAAAGAAAAACTAATACCAGTCCTTCTCCCCATGTGACTTGAAGGTCACTTTGTGAGCAGCCTTCCCAGACAACACCCAGACAGCAGCATGGCCCTTCTAAAGAAATAGTTTAAGGCCTTCAGGGCAGTCAACATCACTGCTTATGGCCCCACGTGTCTCTATAAGTCCTCTTGAGCCCTGAGCTTGGGCATCCAGGCCCTGCAAAGATAGATTAAAATCCAAGAAGTGGTGAAGTTCCTAGTGCTTCCTCTCTGCTGTGTACAGGCCCACTTTCCACCCTCCATCATCACCCTTCTCAGGAAGAGCTGAAGCATCAGGTTTAGAGCAGGGACTAGGTTATGTGCATCTTCATAGGTCATGGAGATGATGACTGAGTCCTAGTAATTCCTGTGTAGGAAGCACCTGCCACAGGTCTCCTTTCATTCCCACAACCACTGAGGAAGCAGGTGATTTTTCTTCCCATCTTACAGGTGAGGAGACAGACCCAGAATAATGAACCACTCTGCCCCAGACAGAGCCAGGACTTGAGTTCGGGTCTGCTGGACTTCGGAGTCAGCTCTCCATCTACCACTTGCTCTTCCTTGCTTAGCACTACACACATAGTAGATGTTCCAGAAATCTTTAGCAAATGAATGTTGAAGAAACAGCCTGGAAAGCAGTGAAAGGTAGCAAATTTTTCAACAGTAACCCCAACTGGGAGAAGTAATGAGTTGACAGAGCCACTAGAGGTCAGAATTTAGCAAGTCTTTGTTAGCTCAGGGGCACCGCTTGTGAAATTCTTGTAGAGCTACAAAGGACCTCAGAGGTTCCCTCACCCCCTTCTTAGTTCCTCTCCCTGTTGGTGAGAAAATGGGTTCAGATGCTATGAGTTGCCCAAGGCCATAGAGGTGTGCCAACTCCCAAACCATGCCTTTGCCCAACACTATGATACCTCTTTAATCACCTTCCTGGAGCCTAAAGCATTTTGTTCTCTGAAAACAACATTCAGTGACCATATGGAGCAGCTTGTGTGCCAGATGCTGGGGACACAACAGTGAGAGGCCAAGCCTGGCCCCGCACGGGGCATTAAGTGAATCTGGGGAAAGTTTGTTTTCGATAATGGGGTTTGACTTTGACTCAGAATTACAAATGCATTTTACATCATGACCTAGTACATTATACACACATACACACACACACAAACACACAGAGCTATATATAATATGTGTGTATATATACATATAATATACATATTATATATTTAGTATAAAGTTTCACAAAATAATACATATGCTATAATGCAGTACATTTTATAATTTCCTATACCCGTCTCTCTTAATCACAACCCATTAAGTTGATTTCGGGATCCTCTAATGGTCACAACTTCACCGTGCATTCCACTACTCTAAATCATTGGTTTCAAATAGGAAAGAGACTCCTAACCCCGAACTTTTTTCCTGGTGTACAAAATGGTCTTGGATTTTTTGGGGGCGGAGGGTGAGGGATTACTAGAACACAACCATCATAGACAGGACTGCTTGGAAGCCTAGGCAAAGAAGAAAGAGAACAGACCATGGTGTTCTTCTCCATGGTGTAGCATCAGTCAGGATGAGTATTGCTTACCTGTGATCTCCAGCAGGCAGGGAAAGAATACAGAGGCTGCTGTAAGCCAGCTCTCCTGTCAGTCTCAAGAGGGCTCCCACCTGGGAAGCTGGGGGCGGGGGGGAGGGTCGGCAAAAAATTGCACTAGAGAGAAAAGATGAGCAAACACTAAAAATCCATTAGGTTCTGGATAACAAGTGATTGATTAGGAATCGTTGAAGGTTGAAGGTCTGAGCTGAGCAATGGGTCCACGTCACCGTCGTGAAGTTAGGGGCCCAAGAACAGGGTTTTTGTTTTGTTTTTGCTGATAATCTAAACCAGTACATCTCCAACCCTAATGTGCGTGCGGATCTTGTTAAAATGCAGGTTCTGACTCAGGATCCGTGGAAAAAGACTTCAACTCAGAGGGGGAGGATGGAGGAGCGGGAGGAGGGTCTGACAGGTGTGCCAAGCTTAGCCAACTGCCTTTTTCCTGCAGACATAGAGAAGGGCTGCCACTTCCAGCACATCTTGGCCTGTGCTCGCCTGAGCGTCAGCCCGCGCCTGAGCGAAGCTGTGCTGCAGCAAGTGCTGGAGCTCCTGGAGGACCAGAGTGACATCATCAGCACCATGGAGCACTACTACACAGCGTTCTGAGGAGCTGCCGGCAGATGGCGTGGGCGGAGCCAGGCCAAGGAAGAGGAAGACCAGGCGGCAATCACTCCCAGGCTCTGATTTTAAACATCACACAGAGGCTGATAGGTCTGGTGGCAGTTACCTCCTAAGAAAGTATGAAATATAGTCATTTAAGGGATGCAATTGGGCATAAATTCTGTAGGCTGCCCTCTCGCTGCTGTATCCTTGGGATAAAGTCACTTCTGTCTCTGCCGTGACATAGAGGGAAACCTGTCCTGTCGACCTCCTGACTGGACCGGGCGTTGCTCTTGGAGCAGAAGGGGAGGAAACAGTGTTGGCGGCTGAATCGGGGTACATGTGGCTTGAGACCCTATCAGGGTAAAGGAATGTCACGTGGTAAAGTGAACTGAAGAGCATATAGCCAGAGCACACAGATCTAAAACCTTCTCGAACTTCAGCCCATCAGCTACATTCTTGTAGGCCTCTCCCAGTGGTTAAGAACCTAATGTAGGGGACTTATTCTTGGATGAGTATCACTCACCTATGATTGCCAAGGGTCAAGTACCAGTGGTGGGTCCTGAGCCCTCGGATGAATGTTGTTTACAGACCCACCCAGAGACGGGAATAAATGGATCTAAGGCATGGCTCTGTGTTGGTCATTTTCCTTACTTTCCTTCTGAATCAAAAGATGTCTCAGTATATTTCCTTAACACTTTGAGGACATATGTGACTAAATACATTGTCCTTTAACACCCTGAAGTCCTTAGAGGCTCTCAGCCAAATGCCTGGCTGGTAGATGTTACTCTCAAGGTTACTGTTGAACGCACAGGGCGTCCCGACACCATCCAGACGAACACTCTGTTTGTGCCCAGACAGGTGGTGGAATCTGAGGTATGTAGCAGGCTTGTTCTAACAGCTAAATGACAAATCGACAAACGCAGCCAGCAAAAAACAAAAATGAAGTGTCAGGAAAGATTTGGAGTTAATTACAGTCATTTCAAAGAGGCACATCTGCCTCCGTCTGCTGCCTTTGCTCTTGACGTAACAAGCTCTTAGTGGCTCTGCTGCAGAGCCCGCAGGCCTCCAGAGTCGTTCTGCTCTATGTGGAAATGCAGTGGTTTTAATACTCACAAGTTGGCTGCAGTTTCACGTGTCAGGCTGAGGGCTAGGACCAACAGATTGCTTCCTGTTGGGGACTTTCTGACTTTACCCAAACATCTGCCATATTTCTAACAGCCGTTTACCCAGATGGCTGCCCTGTGTCCTCTGTCCATTCAGAAGCTTCCCATAGAACGGGGTCTGCCTGGAACAACATCCCAGCGGTTCTTCCTGATAGCAGCGGATGTTCCGTATTGAATACATCTCAGATTATCAGGGCTGCCCAGGAAGGAGTCTGAACCAGCAGCACATTTCCAGGATTTATCCCAAGGAGATGATCGCACAGGTGTGAAAGGATGAACACACAAGATTCCCATTGCTGTGTAATTCAGAGTTCTACAACTGGGAAAAATATCCGTAGGAAAAAGTTAATTATGATACGTGTACACAGTGAAACACTATGCAGCCATTAAATGATGGAGTAGACAGATCCTTTTGCCGTGGAGCACTCTTCCCAAGAAAACTGAGGTACAGGTCTGTTTACAGAGTATACTACCATTGAGCCGTATGTGTATGTCTGTACATCTGCATAAATGTGGCACATGTATGCACGTACATATAGTTGACCACTCCCGGGCCCCCCCCCCCCCCCCCCCCCCCCCCCGCCACCCAAAATACTTTCTGCACTTGGCTTTCAGGACACCACACTCTGGGTGCTCTTTCTCAGTCTCCTTTTCATGGTCTTCCATGTCCCCGGGGGCTCAGGGTTCAGTCCCAGAGCTCATTCCTGTGCAGCTTGCCCCCTTGGAGATGTGAAGCAGTCGTGTGGCTCAGAACATCCATATGCTGACAGGCTCTCCAATTTACATCCAGTTAAGACCTCTTCTGAACTCCAGACCCCTGCATTCAGCTTCCTGTTGACGTCCCCACTGAGGTGTCTAACAGCTGTCACAAACCCCTGCCCAAAGCCAGGCGCCTGATCACCCCTGACTGAAGACTTGTTCCTTCTGAAGTTTTGCCTGATTCACAAAAGCAGCCCCATCATTCCAGTTGCCTAGGCCAAACCCGTTGACTTTTTCTCTCACATTCCACCTCCAACCTGCCTACCAGTTACCTTGGCACTACCTTCAAGGTATTTCTAGAATCTAGCTGCTCCTCACAGCTCCACTGCTACCACTTGGAGCATTGCAGGTGCCTCCTGACTCGACTCCCTGCTTCCGCCCCGGCCTCCCTTTAGTTCACTTAGCACACAGCAGCCAGAGCCATCTGTTAAAACTGAAGCCAGATTCTGTCCTCCTCTGCTCCAGCTCTCCATGACTCTGTTGGTCTCACTCCAGGTAGGACCTCAGGGCATCCCAGTATCAACAAGGAGCTGCTCTGCCTGGCCTCCTCTCCGAATTCCTCCCTCCCCCTCCCCTCTGCACCCACCCTGCTCAGCTTCATAGGCCTGCCTCACTGTTCCTCACACCCCAGGGACATTCCTGCCTTAGGGCCGATGTGCTTGTTTCTTCTGCCTGGAATGTTCCTCACCCAGATAACCATGTGATGGCCTTCCCCCCTCCCCTCCTTTAGGTCTTTGCTTGGGTGTCCCCTTCTCCCTTGGGCCTGTCCTTGATCCCTCTTTTGCTAATCACAACCAGCCCCTTCTCCCTCCTTCCCAGGACTCTTCAGTACTTCTCCTTCTCCATGGTACTTGTCACCATGTAACACATGCCATGTTTCTCACTTGCTTTGTTTATGATCTGTCTCCCTAACAGCAGAAATGCTCCATGAAGGCAGGGGCGGGAAGAAAGGCAGGGCTCTTTCTCTGTTTTGTTTCCTGCTCTGTCCTCTGCACCTGGAGCAGTGCCTGGCAATACCACTCCTGTGTACGTGTCTGGCTGCCCTCTACCTGCAAATATTTCCTTTCTTTCCTGGGGCGGGGCAGGGCGGGGCGGGGGAGGGGGGCTTTCTCCAATGTCTTGGAAGGCTGTTCAGGCTGGAAGTGTTCAGAATTAAACCCACTGGGAGCAGCCTCATCCAGCTCCCTTGCTCTTCAAATGAGATCTCTGAGGCACGTGTTCTACACCATTTTCTAGAGTTTCTCTGTGGGATTAATCTCCATCCACCCACAGAAGCAGCTAACTTGATAGCCACCCTTAATTGCCTGCCTTACCCTCCCTGTCTTCCCCACGCCCCCTTACTATTTGCTGCACCTCCCAAATGAACTGCTTCCTCTCCAGTCCTTGTCTCACAGTAAGCTTCTCGTGGAACACAAATTAACATCATGTTCTCAAGTCTGTTTGAGAAATGCTGCGTGAATAGTTATACATATCAAGCAGAGATCCCTGGAAAAACCAAAGTGACCCATTGTTAACCTCCAAAAGGGTGAGACAGATGCTTTTTAACCACATATCTACATTTGATATTTTTACAATTAGCAAGTGTCATTTCTACAAAAATAATAAAGCTCTTTCTCACTCCCCACCCCACACTCACCTGAATCACAAGTGAACCCGGAATCAGATAGACCTTATATCCCACAGCAACATAAGAACTCGGAGAAGATGAGGGAAGCCCTTGGAAAGTTCTCTGGGGCTAACTACAGTTGGGTCACTGCTCCTGCACTGAAGAGACACCAGAGGGTTCCCCGGAAGAAGAGGGAAACCCAGCAAACATCCTGGCTCTCACAGTGTGCACGATCCAGGAGGCACAAACGCTGCATATAGTTTATATAAGCAAGAAGACAAATAGTGCTACTGTCTGGTTAAGGGTTTGTTTGAAGCTCCATGATTCTCTCCATCTGGTAAGCTACCAGTGCTTCTCATCCTTAAAAGACACTTCTTTCTAATTATTTTCCCCTCTGATAGTGTGCCAGGACACTGGCCGAGAGAAAGCCAAGTGGAAAGAAGTCTATTCAGTGATGGGGAACCCGAGACTGTGTGCCAAGGATTGAAACCAAGCAAACTTGTAATTTTCCACTGGAGAAAGCATCCACACTTCTTATTTGTGTGGTTTCTTCTCTACAAGTGGCCTCGACAGCAGTTCCCCAAAGAAGCACCTCATTGTTTCCTTACTAGATCAATGTGATGCATTCGGGCAGACTCAGAAAGACGGAGACGAAGCTGGCAGCAGGTGCTGGGAGGAGAGGGGGACCGTCCCAAAGGGAAATGGTGCCCACGGATGAAGAAACTTGTAGTCAGATTCTTATTTGCGTAACAGTCTAAAGGCAAGCCCAAACTCCCACAGAAGTGAGTTTTTATATGGTACAGAATTTTTTTAAAATACAGCCTATTTTTATTGAAGTTTTATTAAGTAAACCCAAACAGGTAAGTCGCAGCACACAAGGCTGTGCCCACAAGAATTCTAAATCAGACCCCAAATTCCTGAAGAGACCAAAGTCTTTCCCTGTATGGCAAATTAAAGCGATAGGCTTTCATCTTGGAAAATGAAGAGAGGAATGTTGAGGACCACATCATAGTTTTTTTAAATAGTAAAGTGATGTGTCATTAATTCACACTGCTTTGGTGAACAGTTTATGTAAATTAGTGAAAAATCGGGAAATAGTGCTATTCTACTTAACTCTGTTTAAATCATTCAGTGTTCTGAATGACATCTGAATTACTGTGAGGGAATCGGTTGGCTGCTCTTAGAAAACCTGACTTAATTAATAAATCGCTTTAATTATGTATCATTTAAATTATCATGTGTCATGTATTGTTTAATACTATTAGGTGATTTTAAAGTACTTGAACTTAAGAGATTTGAATGCATGTCCACTCAAAAATGTCGATGTCAATGTTGACAAAACTATTATTATTCCTAATAACCAAGAAGTGAAAAGCAACCCAAATGTCCATCAAGTGATGAATGGATAAACAAATGTATATGCATACGATGGAGTGTTATTCAGCCACACCAAAGAATGAAGTTCTGACACATAT